CCGATAAAACAATAAGATCGCCGAGGAGAGATCGGAAACGCGTTACACGTTCCCAACAATTATAACTGTTCGCGCGGCGAATTACAGTAAGATAAATTGAAAATTGACAGACGATCTTTTATATTTCAAAATGATTATTTTACTGATATAATTTTATCAATATAAAATTGTGAAGAGAGAAATAATTTTGAAAACACACTTTGTCTTTATACGATGCAACTTCATCTCCATATACATTTGCCTGATCTTCCACACGCTACTGTATTTTCGCCTTTCGATTCGCGCATGCTGTTTCTCGCCGCTTCTATCCCTCTTCTGGATTCTTTCACGTTCGTCTCTCTTCATTCTCGTTTCCCCTTTTCTTTCGTTTTATCCTGACCACCGTGAAGCGTGAGCTGCTTGCTCGTCTCAAAGTCGATCGCGCGTTGAACAATGTTGTATGACTATCGCGTAGTATCGAGGCACGCGGGGAGGCTGCATTTAAATCTTCCTGACGCGATTGTGATCGCTGCTGAACGATCGCTAAGGAAGACTTTTTGCGAAAATTACGCGGTTTTGTCCGCCGGTGGCGTGTAAAACGAGAGAAAGAGGAAACCGCGAGAGAAAGAAATCCGTATTCCACGAGCGACTAGCTGTCTTTTTTTTTCCTTCATTATTTTTGTTCCTGACGCACTCGCGTGTCACACGCTTTCCGAGAATAATGCTGGACGACGTTCGCGTGAAGGCTAACGCGGCGATATGTATTATTTGCGGAACGATCGTTCGTCCCCGGACCGGTCAATTCGTCGATCAGGCAGCAAGTAAGTAAAGACTCTCGGAGTCGAACGAGAGACTGGCGCGCGCCTTCTCGACTTAAATGAAATCTCACAAAACCGAGATGGTACGTTAATACAATAAAGATCGGTGAAGAAGTAGGTGCAAATAAGGCACGAGAATACGGCACCACGATTCTACCTCGGTATATGTATATACGCGCATGCACGCGGCCGCTCGCCTACCCAAGAATGTCGCCCCGTGCAAGAAGAGGAACGGCCGCAGTACATCTTCGCGCAATGATACAAACAGCAATCGTTCCGAACTTATTATCGCCGGTAAGAAACTCATAAATGCTTATGACTTGCTTGCCGCTTTTTGCCACGGCGCTCGTACGATCCAGTTAAAGCGACGTTTCGCCGGATTGACTCTCCGACAACCAGCTGGGGATGGCACGGAAAAGCCGAAGGAGGCTCGTTGCATCTGCCTACAGTGCATTCGCGAAAAAAAACGAGGGAAAGAGAGAGAAAGAGTTGGAGCGATGATGGACAGGGAAAGAGGGAGGACAGGAGTACAAAGAAGAGGTGGAGGAGCCTGGGGAGTCCCTTCAACGTCATTTGTAATACCGGATGGCCTAATGATGCGACTGGTCGTGACAGGACAGGAATAAGAGAGTGGAAGCGTGCGAGAGCGCGAGCGATAGAGATTCACCGCGTTCTGGGGTCCTCTGTACACCCCAAGGTATATAGAACGAGTCGGAGGAAAGGGCGGAGGAGGAGGACACGCACAAGATAGGAGACGATCGTGTATAATACATCCACGTGTCTCGGTCACTCGGTTGTTAAGGACGCGCGGAAAGCCTCGGGGATGTATTCGCGATGCGCGACGGCGATTTGCTACGTCGTGGTTGTTGATCACCGGCGAAGAGGGATCTATCTATCTATCTCTGCCGCATGTACCACCATCGCGCCAATATATATATATATATATACGACACGACGTAATATATACGAGCCTGCGACTTTTTTTGCGAGCGATTCGCGCGCGGGCAAAAGTACACGTTGAAATTAATCTACCACCGGCCCACGATAATTTACTCGCGATTGTGTCTGCGCGCTCATTGCGTGCCTCGAATCTGGCGACACGCGTGCGATCGGCAAAAAGTCGATGATCCATCGAGAGGGCTCTCGAACGTATGGTTTTCGTTTCGCTCGCGATTAACGACGACTCGGCCCTCCCATCACTGCCGCATGGAATTTCGAGAGCGAATTCTTCGAATGTGGAGCAGTGTTTCAATTAGATGAATGAATAGTTGAATTGATTTGCTCTGCGATTAATTGCTCTATATAGATAGTAGTAGTTCGTTTTCGTGAAATTGAAAAGAAATATTTTTGACATTTGATGTATAGAAACGAATATAGAATATAATATTTATATAGATATAATTTAATTCGTTTGTTACGATGAAAACTCGATAAAAGTTAAAAATGAATTCAATATTATTAATGTTTGAACAAATATTGAAAAGAAAAACATCGCGGTTCTTTAAATTTAATGAAAATAATTACGCAATTAACAGCTCTTTCAAAACATTGCGATGCATTTAAAGGACGGATGTTTCGTATAATATGTAATTGTTAGAGTCGGAAACGTAGATACACGCGCATGTGCTGTCAAGTGTTGCGACCTAAACCCTGACACTCGATGAACTCGAAGCGAAATCAACGCTGCACGCGATGATTCCCCCGCAAATCATGACGATCGTCGACGCGACGCACTTTTCTTCCCCTCAATACTATAGTGCACGACGATGCACTTCGAAGCACGGCGCAGCTAATGATGCAGAACGTGCAGCAGTGTTTTCTTGCGGCCAACCAAGTAGCGGGACTTGGAAAAATCGACAACCCACCGTAAGTTACGTCTGTACGATCCCCACGTTAAGAAGTCCATGTATAGACGCGCCATAAATTATACAGAGAATGATTTAAAAGAAACTCCAATTTGTTAGCTTCATTTAACGCAACGAGCGTTGCAGAATTATCTCCCCTTACATATCGCGCTGATTTATTTATATGTATTGTAATATAATATTTGGAGGAGACTTACGAAGGATTTATGAGTGGAGAAGAGAGCAAAGATGAAAAATTCAATTGAAATTGAAAATTTGTGTATGCGAAAGTATTTAAATATCTGTCAAGAAATAAATGCTATAATTGATCAAAGCAAAATAAATTAGTAAATTATTTTTTTCAAACTGCAATTAAATTAGCTTATTAGTTTAATATATTTGCACCACCTACACATGATTCACATGCTGACAGTATATTATAAGCTGTCAAATCAGTATTTATCTTGATCATTTCGTATTTTAAATAATAATATTTATTGCTAATTTGACACATAATTCAGCCCATTCATCTAACATGAAAAAACCTATTAAGACAAGCTGTTTAAAAAATTGTTCTCTTTGTCTTTTTACAGGTATCGTCAGACAACACCTATAGATAATTTTGCCGTCTACAACTATGGCACAGTGTTTACTTCTGTTCTGGTCGAGCAGTTCTGCTGAGGTGCAAGATCATCAAGATCGAGCGATTGGACTCTTGCAATACGATATCGATCGTGATTTGTACCTTTCTTTGTTCAGTCAACAGCACGACGCGTCGAAATAATCGGTAGAATTGGGCCGACAATAAAATTGCGCGGTGCTGAACGCGCGCGCTATGGTTAGCCAGATTAATCAGCGACATACTTAGATTTATCTCAAACTATGTAACGGCGAGGCATCGTCGATTAACAATGCTGTTCGTAAATTGTACCTTTCGCCCACGTCGTAAGAGAGAGAACGCACGTTCATTACAATAAATAAGTCTTCACGGCGGATTATTTAAAAATTTCTAAACTTTTTAAAACTTATATATAAAGTATTGTGTGCACGTTAGAAAGGATTGTCATTAATATAAAAGACTACTTGAACGCTTGTCTAAAACTGCTAAGGCTATTTGTTATATAAAGCAGCTTATACGCCTGAGAAATAATTGTGCATTTTGATAATAATATACAATACTAGTTTATATATATTTCTACATGAAAATTTACAGAATAACTAATAGGACAAAAATTAAAAAATTTTTTTAAAAACTTATTCAATGGAAATATATATCCACGTGTTCTTATATATTACATGACGATATCTTTATCATACGAGTAAATAAGATCCAAAGATATATCACGTCTTTGAAGATAAAATTGGAGCCAAGAAAACATCGAAAGTTGTCACTACATGTGTTAATCTATTCACGCGAAAAATCAGTTGTTGAATAAGAAAAAGAAAGAAAATTAATCAAATGTACAGGAAAGGTTTAATTTTTTCTTTAATTAATTTTATCATAAAGGAATGCTGTGATGTATTGCGAGTTCTTTTTAGGTCTCACTCGTGTTTATATGAATCACAAAGAAATAATATATAGAATTAAATAGAAAAAGCATTTAAAATTTGATTTTCTATCTCGTTAATGTTTCATTATCCGCTACATTTCTCATAGTTATACTAATTAACTATTATTGATCTATCCTACTTCACAAAACAAATCTTTAATAACGAAGTGTTAATTTGTAGTAAAATATCAATTTTCCGTTAACTCATTGTAAAAACCGCAAGAAATCAATCTCGACACCGCATAACAAACGTGCGAAGAAGAGACATCGATAGGAGAAACGCACAGAAGCGACAAAACGGCAATGCAAAACGACGACGAGAAGGACGAAGGAGGCACGGAAAGAAGAGGAGCATGTGAAACTCGAAGCGATTCACAAGGTTGCGACAAGGTAAACTCAACTAACGTTGTCAGAACCGACCGGCCAGCTAGTCCGGAGAGCGGGATAAGGCTAAGCTAAGAGGCAAGTCAAAGCAAGTCAAGAAGAGAGTTAGGTCGTGGCGAGAGAAGCAAGAGGCAAAGGCGAGTAGGGACGGACGGTGAGTACGGGCAAGGCGCATTGGCGAGGCACGCTAAGGCAACGGGTCCAAAGTCGTACACCACGATGGCGAGGCCCCGGTGCGGCGCGTTAACCTCCCGCTCGCGAACGCAGTACGCTCTCGACTCTCGCGCAGGCCAGTTTGCAGCAATCTTGTCGGTCGATCCGCCGACCACGTGCTGCCGCATCCCGCCGACAGGCGAGCAACCGCGAGAGAGGAACATCCGATCGCGCACACGTGCCTTTCGCGCGCCCTTTGACAGCAGATCAATTTTGACCCAGGAGAAAGAGAGACGTAACGAAATTCGATTAATTCGCTCTTCGCATTAATTAACGAAAACCCGGTGACAGAGAGATTACGTCGGTGTGCGGATAATCGAGAAAAGAATTATCAAAGTTTACATCTCTAATTATCTCGATCAATCTCTCGATGTGTTATACTTACACTGGGGGAAATTCAATTTTCAAGAGTGCGCGAGATGAGATAATCGGAGGGAAGTCACGACCGGACAGGGCGATTTAAAACGGACGTAGTAAATTAATTCGCGAGAGAGGCGAAGGAGATTCCGATCGCGCTTATATAGATTTGGAGAGCGGTTTTACACCGGGGGTATCGCACCGTGACGCCAAGCCGGACGGTTAATTTAATTCCGAGGTGCGTTTCTCACGCCCGATGCGAAATCGGTTCTGACCGCGACGATTAAAAGGAGGCGTTTCCACTTTCGGTGGCCGTGCGTGAAATCTGCGGGTCTGAAACGAAAACGAATTCGAAATGGTCACGTCGGCACGTGACGAGTCTTCTCTTCTTCTGCCACGGCAAAAGTGTGTTCGCGGAGCCGTCAAAAGTTTTCGCGCTTCGATGAATCGCGGCGAAAAAAAGGGGTATCGTGCCCCAGAAAAAGCGATTGGCGCGCGGAGATCGATCGAGCAAAACGAATCGGAGTAATTGAATTATCGAAAGAGAGGAGAGAGAGAGAGACAGGACCGAAGGAGGACGCAGACCTCGGGAGACGACCATACATGGTCATCATCCGCCTACGAAGCCGAGGAAGAAGAAGCCAACATCGCGTTGTCGTGATTGCGTGGGAGGCATCGCACAATTTCTTCTTTTTTTTTTTACGAAGAAACGAGGCGGAGAGACAAATTCGCGCGCTCGCTCAGGAATCTGGAGAGCTCGACTGTTGGATCTTACAAGTGCACCCTGATTATACGACGAACGGATCTTCCAGGAACGAAATGACCGGCGCCGCCGCGATCTCTTTCTTCGACGTGTCGCGGGAACGCGTGCCGAGACGAGGGCGACCGACAGATCGAATAAGATCACCGCGAAGAGACGAGAGGAACCTGATTCCGGAGCAAGTTTGTGCCGCCAAGCAGTTCGAATAATTAGCAACAACTAGTTCGTTAGCAAAAGCCGTGGCTAAATCTCCGCGCGAATCGAACCGCCGCGAGCGAGCAAAACGAGATAGGAAAACATGCTTCCGAGAAAAAAAAAAAGCACGCGAGAAATGAGAAATGAGAATTTCGCGAAAGGCAAAAAGAGGAGCGAGTAAAATGAAGACGCGAAGGCAGATTATGCGAATCCGCTGTTGGGAAAGAGCGTAAAGGGACGAGAAACGCGCGCAAAAATCGTGCGCGTGGAATAAAATAAATCTTCGAGATCGCGCGGCGTTGATCTGTGTGTCTAAATTCGACATGCAGTTGTTGGCTAAAGTGCATCGTCGAAATAAACTGCTCGCGATACGTCACGCCGTCGTTACGCCTGTGACAAATGCGCACGACGAATGAAGATTTTCGCTACGGATAAAGATAATAATAGGGAACGAAAGAAGAGGAAGAAAGAGGAGAGAACATGCCGGTCGCGGGAACGAGGAAATTATGCAGAGTGGGACTCGCCGCGATCCTGGTCACCGCGCTGTGCATCCTGACTCTGTTGGATTCGCCGCCAGCACGACTCCCGGATCCGCCGACCGATCCTCCTCCCACGCCTGGTAAGCAATTTTCCTCCCTCCCGCATCTCCGCGGAGGGCGCGACCCTTGCCCTTTTGTTATCGGCGAACGGTCCGCCACCGCAACCTACCTGAAGACGCGTCGGCATCTAGCGGGATTTTTTGCTGCCGCGCGAATCCGTCGTGAGCGCAGATAAAATCGGGGAGACAAATCGGTCTCGTTTCGCACGACGTGACGTCTCACAAACCTAATTAACCCCTTGAACTCGAGCGATCTCGCAGCGAAATCATCCGTGTCGCCATTATTCTAATAGCGGCTAGGCATTGAAAACGCCCCGTTGTTTGTGTGTGCTCGGTAACGTTCAACTATTTATTTCAATTATTTATTATATCGTAAATTTCGCTTTCAATTGTTTCAAAATTCTGTGGTCTATATAAATAGATTTACTTTGGAAACTTCAATTATTGGAGTTTTAGCAATCAACTATGCAGTAAAATAGTACGTTCCTCCTACTATTAAACATTCTTATACGAAATAACTTGATATATTAAATTTTTATATAGAGTTTTAAGGGATCAACGTATTAAAGTATTCGTACAAATTGTATTGTAAAAATATAGGTTTGTAATTTCGAGATCAATTCCGTAATAGAGTCATAACCATCTCGAGATTCTATGCATTTTAACTTCAACCACAACGGAGATTGCAAGTTTAAACTATAATATCCCTAAGATACACTGCCAAGAATAGGCTTACACACACACACATATGAACAATTTATGATATAAAATTTCATAGCCTGGGAAGAGAAAATTATAATTACATTACAAATTATATTACATAAGAAAAGAAGGAACTTTTATCCTCTATTTTACGTGCACAATCGCAACGGAAACGCAAGGGACGAGATCTACATAAAGTAACAGAGATAGTTAATGTACTGCTCGCGCAACCATTTTGTTAGAGTATAAACCGAAGTACTATCTCAACACGTATATAAAAATAAAGATTCGCACGCAATCGACTCGTGCGAAGTATCTGCGAGTGATGATTTGTTACTTTATACTAGCTATTTCCTAGTCGCGCAAAGTTTCTCAGCATTAAAATGCTATCCGAGCGAGCCGACACGAGGAAGAGGAGCCTCCTCGCTCAGCCCTACTTTTTTTTTTAAACGCACGTTCATCACGCGTAATTGTACGGACGCTGCGCTTTCTCTTGTACTAACAAAGAATATAACTATGTAAATAACTCGTTTCGCGAGGGCCGATACCAATCAACCCACGCTACGCATCGCGTAGAAATACACCCGAGTTCCGCACGCAGTACATATACAGTCTCTCCTTAAGAGAAAGAGAGAGAGACTGAAAAAGATGCCAAGATAACGCTTCGAATGCGTGCTTACGCGTGCAACAAAGGCAAGAACGCAGTTACCGAGTTGTAAATAAATATCACGAAAACTTTGGCACATATAAAGCTCGCCAGGAACGTAAATCTCGGAGCTGTTATTTAGTAGTAGCGACTTCATTAGTCGACATAATTTATGACGTGATTCATCGAATGACCGCCCGTCGACTCGCGCGCTTTCGCGTATTTCACCTTCGCCTCCGCCATGCAAACATTTCGCCAAGAATTATGACAGCTGATTGTATGTACGGACCGAGGCCTGCATACTGTACCCGCGATGCCCGACAGACTCGACAGGCTTTTGAAATTTGTCTGTGTTGTATATACATGTACGATCTTTCACGTTATCAAAGGGTTGAGGAGAGCAAAGAGGCATATTTAACGCTAAATATAAATTGCGATTCATCACGTCGCACTTTTTTACGACGTAAAAATGAAGTTTAGTTAATTAACCGCGAGTAATAACGATGAGGGAGTTATATTAAGAGAGAGGTAATAATAACACTGTTCGACAAAAAAAAATTAACCATAACGAGACTAGTTTCTTATAGCTTTTGAATGCTGAATACGAATCTGGTTTCCAAATTAATCCATCATGTCAACAATTTTATTATATTTTTATTATATATTTTATATTATATTTTATATGACAAAGTTTATGAAAATACCCCTTTTGGCAACTTTGATTAAAAATTTCTCAACACTGTGACGCAATAAAGCAATTTAGAAACCTGATTCGTATTTAACATAAAAAACTATAAGAAACAATTAATCTCGTTACGGTGTTCGAAAAAAGGTAATTTTTTATTGAATAGTGTAATTAGCGAGTTTTATAGAACGTCACCCGTTTCAACTCGAGTTGAAGAGGAATTTCTTTCGTGCGGAGCAATTCCTGACTAATTAGGGATGGATTAGCTTTGAAAATCGGCACGATTTACTTGCCTTCCACAAAGCCGCGGCTAGATCCAGCACTCTCCGACCTGACAGTGCGATTTCCATGAGAACGCCGCAGTGCATTAGCGTACTTCTAGCGTGTACGAATCCCTCTATCTCTCTCTTTCTCTCAAACGCATTTACCTTCTCGTAAAGCTCGCGAAGCGTGGCCGGGACGTACGTACGTACGTATACGTACGAACGAGGGACTAAAGGGCACGGAGTCACGAAGAATGCTCGCGGCACGCAAACACGTAATACCACCATCGCATCGCGTCGGTGGCCTCATCGGGTCAAACAGCAACTTTTAACGACACACACCATGACGGATCATCATCCATCCCGTCGCCCGCGGAGGCGAACCCGCGCAATGGATCAGCGGGATCGACCCGGGATCTCGTTATCTACCTACGCTCTCGCCTGCCACGTCGAGAGATCGTCGGGAAAATAGTTCCGGACACGTTCGTTCGATAACGTTCACGATCCATATACGTCGAAGGCGAGTAATTGCGAGCGAGACGAGTCACGAAACGTGTATAGTGCCATACATTTATCCGCGGACGCCGACACGGTTTTTCTTTTCCCCCTTTTTTCCTCGTCGTCGTCGTCGTCTCGCAGAAATAATTATAAACGAGAGATGTAACGAAAGTTCTTAAAGCTATCAACGACGTGGATTTATTTGCGTCGCCGTAGGGCAGCGCGTCCGGCGCGGCGGACATCCCTCCCTGTCGTATTTCATAAATATATTTAATAAATGCATTAATGCACGGAAAAGAGAATGGAAATCTCGCTTCTCGAGTCCGCTTCGGCTCGTGACTCCTCGGATCCTCCGTGACTGCATGGGGAACGAGTTTCTCCGCGGAATAGAGGATATAGGCGGTGTATCAACATTAGGGAGTCTAATTAGCTGGTCATGTCGATTGAGATTCCGCCCAGCTCATTTTCTTCCCTATTAGAAAGGCCGCTGGAATATATGGAAATTACGACGACTACGTGCGCTGATAAGCGAGAGCGCGACGCTAGGACAAATATTTTTAGATGCAAGCAAGGTGAATTCTAAACAAATGTAAACGTATTCATAGTACAGGCGCGTCCGTCTCTAGTAGTGCATGACACGCGCGTCATTTCCGTCCGGTCATTAAATGCCAATATCTTGTCGCGTCATTTACAGTCTGCGCGGTAGATAAGATCGTTTAACTTGAACAATAAATTGTACTCGCGGAAATTATAAAATAATGTATAGTAATGTTAGCAAGTAAAATGCGAGGGATACTATCTGACTAGAGGAAAAGTTTTGATAAGCTACAGACAGAGTTAACTGCACAGCGTAATATCAACGATAGCGTAAAGCCTTGTTCTTACAAGAAAATACGGTCCACCAAAACTAGTTAACTAGAATGAAACTTTGTAAATATAGAGTGGCTCAAACATGAATATGCATTAGGTTCGCTTTTGAAAATTGTATAGTTCAAATATGGAAAATGTCATGTCAAAATGTAAATACCAAAATGAGAAAAATTTATTTTATTGACTTAATAAAAACTGTAAATGTTCTGTTAAAAAAATAATCCTGTGCAAGCGAACGAGATTTTACGACGCATTCGCAACTCGTCCAGTAAAGTACATTTTACCCATTTTGATACGTACATATTTTAACATGCTTTATATGTATGAAAGATATGCAAAATTTAAAAAATTTTCTTCATAATAAAAATATCTTTAGATACTGTTTTTTGCAATTCTATTTTATTTTAACGCGCTTTAAATTTATTGTAAATTTTTAGTCAAAATATTTTCTCTACATATTAAAATTTCAGTACCACCTAAAAAATAGAATTTGTTATTTTCAAATACAATTTACTGCTATGCTTTGAAAGAACAATTAGACGTGAATAAAGCGTATTGCGTTATCAATTTGAGTTATTCTACATAAAATGTAAAATTTTATTCTTTATACACATTTATGGATTCTAAATCAGTAACGTTTCTTTGTTAATCAACAAAAATATAGTTATCTTTTTTAATACCTGAAAATAACAACAACGAATTTTTTGATTAAAGTATATGTTCTGCTCTTTAAAGATATTTTAATAAAAGAATCAAAAGAAAGAAAAAATATTAATTATATTTCAAAAGATATGCATTTGTGAGATACGAGCGTTGCATTTCAACAACGTAAAATTTTAATCAATTAAAAATAAGAAATCATTTATTTCGATAACTACCTTCGAAGATAAATATTGCTAGAGAAGGAAAGGGAAGCCAGTTAACGTGCTCTGTAATATCTAGTACTGAAAGAATGCTCTACTCTCTCTCTTAACAAAAACTCGAGTTAACGCTATATTCTCCCTCTCAAGTCTCAATTAATTTTTTCATATCGATTGCAGTTTCTCTCTCCTCCTCCTCTTTCTCTATTCATTCCGACCAAATGACTACTTAACATCATTCTTTGCGCGTGTTCCAGGGGGTGAACCGCCGGGCACAAGAAGCATCGTCGCTTATTCGTGGGCTCGAAGATTGGCACTCGATTACAGGCCCACCAAGCAGTGCGACCGTAATGGAACGCGAGGAATGGTCTTAAACGCATACGAGCCGCCCGGCACGAAATGGCTCGAGACAATCCCGGGACGGCTCTTCCTGTACAGCGCCCACTTGGACCTCAGAGTTGTCAGTTACCCAAGCATCAGAGTGATTGGCGTTAAACGAGGAACTCTGCCGCCCTCCACGCTCTTCTGCACTATATGGTGAGCCATTTTTCACGGCGCAATGCAGCCCCTCGTGTATCTCTGACAAACGTTAAACACGAGGAAAGAGAATCACTCAAAAGACACGCTCATAAACGCGCGGTATAATTGCGTGGTGCTTCTACAAACCGACTCGGTAAATTAGTATGAACTTTCTCAATTATATTATACAAAGATTTAATAAGCTCGTAATTAAATTTATATTGTTTGAAGTGTGTGTTAATAGAAAGATCTTTTTTATTTCTAATTAAAATTATATTACAATTTAATTAAACGTTTTCCACAGAAATACATTAGATCTTAAGCTTATATATTTTTATATTTAAGCAAAAATTGGTGTTTCGATGATTTGAAAACAATGACTGATTCTCTTCAAGTTGTCAATTAAAATATAAAACTGGCTCACGTTTACCTGTTCGTATCTTATTCTACTTTGATATTCAAGGAAAATCCCGAAGCACTTAGTCGTTCGTAACAAACTTACGAAGAAAATGTACGATGCGGAACATATATACACGCGGATTAATAATAAGCATGCCGAGGAAATGTGTTTTTGATTCATCTTGCACTTTCAATTTCGGTTCGAAATGAAACTTTGCTAACGCGAGTCAAACTTTCATCTCGCCTAGAAGCAGCTGACTCTTTCGGGTAAGCGTTATGAGTAACGACGAGCAATGCAAATGTTAGCAGCGACGCGAAACGGAGCATATTCGTTTAAAATGCATGGTTGGAAGATATAATGGCTTCCACCATGCGTGCAGGTGTTTTCCGCTAGGATACTCGACATTAATCAGCGCGTTCCCTTTCAATCGGAAGCGGTAGATTAAGCGTCTCGGTCTCGTTATGTTTCAGGTATCGGGAGCACGGTGAGACACGATCGTTCAGCGTGGAGGCCCTGATCTCCACGATCTGGTTGGACGAATGGGACGGCACGGCGGATAGTTACACCGGGATCCTCGTGAATTGTCAATTGCCGTTTGATGACTCGATACGCCGCACGTCTCGGATTTACGTCGGTCCTAATCCCTGCTACGAAAATGCTAGTCATAGTTTAACGACCCGCTCGGAATACGACGAGATGATCTCCGTCGACCGGAAAGGGCGCCAAGAATTCACTCTATGCATCAAAGGACTGGACTTCGACGAGGATATATCGCGCAAGCTCGTAGCCTTCGTCGAATTACATCGCATACTAGGCGCCAAGTTGTTCTACTTCTACGTCTTCAACGTGCATGAGAACGTGCTGAAAGTGTTGCGACTCTACGAACGATCGAACGTAGTGCGGTGGTTTTCTCTCGATCTACCGGGCGATTTACCGAACGAGAAGTCGACCCGGCGGCGGTTCTTCGGCGAGGATATCTGGACGAAGAGGCGAATGGAACTTATCCCGTACAATCACTGCTTCTACGAGAACATTCATCGATCCGAGTTCGTGGTGCCGATCGATATCGACGAGGCGATCGTGCCGACGCGTCGAAAAACCTGGCACGAGCTGTTGCTGGACGAACGCGCAAAGCTCGGCAGAAGCTTCAAGGATTTCGCCTCGTATTCCGTACGAAACGTCTACTTCTTCCCCGAGTTGCAAAACAAGAGCCGGCCGAGAGAACTCGACGAAGCGCCTCGTGCCTCGCTCGAGCAGTATCCCGATTATTTAGATACCATGAGAACGGCCAATATCTCGCCCGAAGGTGACTCGGTGAAGAGTTTCGTCTCCACGAGGCGCGCTCTAACGGTGCACAATCACTATGCTCTGGCAACGTTGAACCCGTCCACCAGACGGGCTCATCATCTGAACTCGAACGACGTGCTCAAGCACCATCACCGGGCGTGCGACAGCCGACATCTCGACTGCGATCTCTTAATGGAAGACGTTAGGATCGACGAGTCCGCGCTGCGCTACGCGGACGAGCTCAGGACGAGAATGAAGATCGCTTTCGCCGATCTCGACGCTTTGCCATAACTGTATATATAGCGATATGTAAATAATAAAGGTCTGTTCTCGAAATCCTTGTCTCTTGTGTCTCTCAGATATGCATGTTAACTCCTTCAGATAATCCCCGAGAGATCTCTCTCGCGCGTGTGACTTTGAATGACTTCTCGAAACAATATCCAGTGTTCTCTTTGTCAAAATTATGTAATAATTAAAAATCATTGCGATAAATGATACGAACAAAGTAATTTTTTGATGCAAAAACTACTTTTAAAAATAATTTTATCATGTTAGCGAGTACATTAATAATATATTTTAATCAAATAAATCGATAAATAAAATGTGAAAAAAATTCTATTCTGAAATATAAATATTTCGTTTTTATATCTCTCTGGAATAAAATCTTTTCCTTTATAAAACTACTCAATTCATATCCATCTTTTGTTAATAATTACTTAAAAATTTTTTTTGCAATAAAAATAATATAGAAATATTTTTCTATCATTATTCATATCCTTCTACTCTATCAAACTAAAATAAATCGTCTAGAAAAAAAAACGACCAGTTTTTTATGACGATAAAAATAATGGTGACATTTTTCAAGCGTAATACGTATTTAAAACTGTAGCGAATAGTCAAAATAATCGGAAAACGTATAAAAGGAAGAATGTAAAACTTGACGCTTTTCAGACTTTTGAGTAAAATTATTACAACCGCGCGATAATTGAAGAACGTGCAAAAAATAAAACGCAGAAAAAAATCCACGCTGTCACGCTTTTCAACGGTAGAATTCCAGCTTGAAACTATCGAGAGGCCGGGTGCACAATAATTGAAAGTATTTAAAATGACAAAGGCATGTCTGACGGACCGTCAAGATTGAAGCGTGAGATTGTAATGGTCGGACGAAATAATTGGAAACCACCTCAAAACGACAAAAACAATAGTTGGCTTTTCAAGGCGTGGTGTATTCAGAAGATGAAGCGCTTTAATCTCTAGTTTAACCTACTTCCAAAGATTCAAACGAACTTTAACAACTAAAAATCCATTTCGCACCGCCACGCCATGGTCCCACGTCGTCTGACAAATTTATCAAATAAGACAAAACAAACGCGCTATTTATGTAAAGGAAAGTCTATCTCTCAAATTAACAAGTACGTATACGAGGAGTGGACGACTTTATAAAGCGCCGCATCCATCATACTCGATACGCGCGAACGACAGATTCAATCTCGCTAAAGTGGCGGTTCGGTGGTCATCCATTAACGCTCGAGATCTCGTTCCGCACGCAGGTCAAATGCTTTGCCACCTCAAACTACCCTGAAGCGGCGATTTCCATCGGCGTCGTTATCGATTGATTAGATATCGGATCGGGTTACTCACTGGTGATCAGAATGGCGTTTATGCGCGACAGCCGTCGAACATATTTTTCAAGAGGATAAAATCGTGGAACGGAGATGGCTTTTCCGCGAGCAAGCGACGGTTCGAGACAGAAGATAAATCCCATCGCGGCGGAAGCACAAACAAAGATACGATCGTTCGAAATACGACCGACGATTCCCGCTAGATAAGTTTTACGACAAGTATCGAGTGCGGCACAATCAAGGTCGCGACTAGCTTTAATAGATCATAAGAAAATCGTGGCATCCGCATACTTTTCTTACGAGGCGCAGGAGATAAAAGCGGAATGTCGTCTCTCCCGAGAGAGATAAATAAGTTTCGCGGAACGCTGAAATTATTCGCGGACATTCATGGCGTGCTAGGCACATCTCGAGATGTCGTTTCGACGATTCTTCAAATGTCGCTACGATACTTCAGAATGGAATAAACGAGTTCGCAAACTTCTGAAGAGACTGTTATAGGACGAACGCGACAGTTTTTCGTTGTACTCTTCAAGAAGATGTATCAACTTATGACGCTACTATCGACGTTTAAGACAGGTTGCGCCAAATGTCGTCAAATATGCACACATCAAGATTGTTCCAGTTCCATATAATAATATGCCGTATAAGCGAGACAGATCAACCTGATAGTGTATCATGAAATGGGTCACAGTAAGAGAACTCGGCCAGCCATCGATTACACATACGGATTATTGCATCGTGCAGATTCTGTTGCCGATTTTTCGACCGGTCCAAGATTATCGTTCTCACATCGCTAGTAAAAATCTGAATAATAAATCGGTCTAATCCATATACGTCTACTTTTTTATCGACCATATAATTTTTATACATTCACTCTGTCCTAATGAGAATTCAAAGCAGTTCTACTTTTAGTAACCCTTAGAAATTTAGCACCTTTTTTATATGTAGGAAAATTATTATTCAACACAGCTTTTAAAAAAATATCGGAGGACATCTTTAATAAATCAAATCTGCCATTCAACGAGCTTACAAGTTAAACTTTGTTAATAAAAATATATTTTTTCAGCCATATATGTAAAATATATTTACAATTTAATTATGCAAGTAGCTATTCCATATTCATGATTACATCCAATTGCATCGCGCGGACTTTACGATCGGTGCAACACGTTCCGAAAGCACAGAATGTAGGATATAAATGAGTTAACGCTCCCGCAGCGTGCACACAATTTCGGGAATTAAAATTTTCACCGCGGAGCGTCCAATCCATCATAAATCTCATTATATCCTTCAGCCAGTGTACGTTAACGGACGTATCTCTTTACTGATTTATATCCGTCGCGTTTGAGTTACAATGTTTTTTTCCAAGCTGACGAAGTAATCTTCGCTCAAAGTCACGTCCGAGAGCCTCCATTGAGTGCCTCGTGCGTTAATTCGATTGCGAAATATTTTCGCGCCGCACGAACAACGATGACGAGGAGCCGTGCTCCACTTAACAAAGTATCCGCGTGAATAAAGCGTCCGTCTGACAACGCGTGATAAAATTCACGACGTCGTCGCTTATATACGCCGCCCGCTGGCAGACACCGCGGAGCTAAGACCGATTCTAAATTAATGCGGCAATAAATCACGCGAACTTGAAGAGAGAAAGCACGTTTAGAAAAGCTACACGCGTTCGCGGTGCCCGCCTAAATTTATCGGCGTACCGTATTTACCGTACGCTCGCATCCCTCTGTCTCTCGCTTCATATTACGACGGCAACGACTTGCGGGACGACGACGGAAGCTTCATCTCTCTTACCCGCAAACCGCCGCATGGAATTCGCATATATCATCGGTAATAATGTCTCCACCACCAGGCGAGCGCGCCTGGTCTCCTCTCGCTGCGACACCCTCCTTCGATCAGGCGCCAACCTCTCGAGTTGTTATTCTCGAGGAGAACACGCGGGAGATCATATTATTGCAGACACGCGCCATCGAACAAACCTATTTGAGCATCGACCTCGGATATAATCCATCGCGCGAGCGAATTTTTACGATTTTCTCTTCCTTCCCCTTCTTCGGAAAAAAAATCGAGGTCGCTTTTTTCGAAAGATCGGTTTCTATCGTTGCTGCCTCTATAAAACCATGTGCCATTTTTCTCATTGAGAAATTCACCCTGCTTCTTTTTCTTCTTGACGCCATTCCAAGTCGTATCTCATTGTCTTAGATATGTAGCTACGCTTTCCGCAGTTCGTTACGACCGACCGATTACACACGTAAAGATAGGTCAGGTACTGCACGATGAGAGGCAAATGGGATACAATATTATCACAAAGACGACTCTATTCGTTGAAATGAACGAGAATTCTCTCGAGACGACAATTTCTCGTCGTGAAACAAATTGGGACATTCGACGTCAAAACAGCGTATAATACTTTGTTGTTTTAAGCAATGCGGTCTGGAGAAAAAGAAGCTCAAATATTATAAAGAAGAGCGACTTGAGAGAGAATGCTATTTATAAATATGTAATTTTTCAAAAAAAATATTCAAATGCATACTAGAACATTTAATTGTAATTATTAAAATATTAAGAAAATTAGTCAAATATTTATAACAAAATATTTTTATGAAAGATCTAAACATTAAGAGAATAAAAGTATCATAAATCATATAAAATGAACCGATAACTCTAATATATTATAATTATTTAGTTTTATTATTATTTATTAAAATTAAGAAAAAATATCCAAAAGTACTTTTCGAGTTACAAAATTATATTTTTTAATACGTTTCATGTACTTATTGTTACAGCTTTATTTTTTTCAAAATTATTTATACGTAAGTCAACCTCTCATCATGTTGTTCCTTCATTATCAATTTTATTCTGTACGCGAAAGACTTAGAAAATTTTATGCATGTGAACGAAGGTTGGCGTAAAATATAAATATTAAGAGCTTGATCAAGACCTAAATCTACAAATTCGCAGGAAGTATTATAAATTATGCGCGCGCCATAAACTTTAATAAGAACATATGAGCACGCGACACGAGTGCTTACATTGTAAACCAAAAAAGCTGGAGAACGCAGCTTACGCGATTCGTCGGATAGTTGCAAGCATGCGCCTGCCATCCGCGAAAGCGAGAGGGAGAGAGAAAGAGAGAGGGTTGATCGCGAATAAGCAGCACGTGCGTAACAGTCATCCTGGCGCATTCGCCAGGATCGCTTGCACCACGGAAGTTATCTCTCCATCATCGGATGTTACAGATCATTATCTCGTGCAATTTGCAATCGCACATCGACGCCTAAAACTTACGTCACTCGCGAAAAATTTGCATCGACGGCTATATCACTTCATTATATTCTTCGTCGCAAACATCCAATTTTTTTGTTCAATTAAACACTCGTCTTAATTAAATAAAAATATCTAAAAAGAGATATTCGCGAAAGATCTTGAGAGAATTTATTCGATATTGCGCACAGATTTATTTTGGTTTATTTTAAACGCACACATTCTAGTGGACATATATAGTGAACGTCGTAAACGCCGGTGACACCCATAAAACATGCACAATTACCACGAAGAATACACGTGTGTGCGCGTTTTGCGCATATACTGCATCGAGAATGCGATTCACTCGCAAATTACACTTAAGTATTTACGGCGAATTTTTTTGTCGACTGTAATTCTTATTATTCTCGCCCGGATACAAACCGCCACTTTAATAAGGCGGATCGTCGTATCCTCATCATCTTCGAGAATAAGAATTATTTGTCCGCTAAAGAATTACACTGGAAAGGATTATTCTGGATACAATGCGCTCGTCTAAGTGACCTAAAGACCTAAATATAGAATCCGTAAAAATTTCTGGCAAAGCACGATGAAACGCAGACGGAACAAAATGAGACATAGCAGTTCCTGGCCCGATCGAGCACCGAAAACAGTGAAGATGCGTATCGATCCTTTATCTCGTGCCTTCACTATTATCCCGGCAAGCCGCGAAACGTTATATCGTTTGGAACAAACTTCGAGCAAATCCGATTGCCTGGAAGAAGTCATTCTCCTAGATCGATACTCCTCTAAAGGAATCGCGTCTGTGATGATAAAACGAAAGTTAATCGATGGAAAACCTATATCTATAAATAACAAACCCGCGAGCACCGTTGAAAATTCATCTGACGTAATAAATAACGAGACGAAAAGTAGAAAAAATGCCAATCGATATTTTATGCCACGTAGTCTTTCATCAATCGAGACTACTGCAATTAATCAAAACGCTGTTATTGTGTTGGAAGAAAATATTTTCCGAGATCAATTAAGATGTAAATCAGATTTTTTCGCGAAGAACGACGAAGCAAAAAATACAGAGGACATTAAAAAAGCATCTCTGCTGAGAACGACGTCGGATACGACGGATATCGCCAAGTTATTTCCGAAACATGTCCAAGAGGAGCCCGTAAATACAGCGACACGACTGACAAACAAATCCCCTTCGTTCGCGGAGACTAACGCCTTTGATGTAATAGTAAACGTTGCAGATGAGAGCTTGCATGCAGCCAGGATCGCGCAAATAGATAATTCACAAACACGAGAGACGAATGGGGTGAGGATGGAGCGTCAGACTGCCATCTCGCCCGCATCCTCACCGAGACAGGCTACGTCATCGCCGCCGCATATCAAGGTGGACGACTACGACGATTATGCGACATCCGTTTCATTCTCGTCGAAAGGGGATTATCACGCCTGTCCAAAGTGCACGTCCGAAGGTCTCCTTCGCTCGCAAATCGATCCCTTCTGTTCACCGTCGCGAGGCAAAAAAAACGACGACGCGACGGAGGTGAAAGCGCACGGTTTTCGACGCGATGACTCGATCAAACACGAGAAAAAGGAAGGGTACGATATACGTCAAAATAAAGATATCTGGTACGCGGGATGCTTAATCGGAGAGGCAAGAAATGCGAATGGCAAAAAATTGCCTCGGCAAAATAAAGACGACGGCTTGTTGCCAGCACGACCGGCTATAGACTTCAGAAAGGAGGCTACTCTCAAGCGACATTACTATCCCGAGGGAGGTTGGGGATACGTCATTGTCACGTGTTCGGTGCTGGTGCATTTTATCGGGGTGGGTCTGCAACTTGCCGCGCCCGGATGTTGGCATACCACGGCGGAACGAAAATTTCGACATCCTCCACTGCATAGTGCAGGTAAGAAATCAGATATTCCTCACGCATCGCATATTAATTCATTTTATAAAAGTTCAAAAGCTTGCATAAATAAACGCAATCTTTAGTACATATATAGCTAACCATTTTAAGTAGCTCCTATTATTATTATTTATATCCCGCGTCAATAATTAGTAACCATCATGACATAGATATATTGCATATATATATTCAATATGTTAATTGCGAATAAATGCAAATATAATGCAAATACACTTATGGAAATTTTGGTTTGCCATAATTTCAGTAATAAAAAACTGGATTCATCAAATTCTAAAATTGCAGTATACCAATTCTATAGAAAGGTATATTAATAAAAGATATATAAATAATTAATTAACTCACTCAAAGTTGTTCCGCCGTCGCCCGATGCCTCCTAAGACCTGCTCCTTCTCCTTAGTTAATTCTATAAAACAAATTACAACATACTATTAATTTTATGGAAAGATATATTAATAAATATATATATATATATTTATTTATTGTTTATAAATTTATATATATATATATAAAATATAAATATATATAATATATATAAATAAAATCAGAAAGAAATCTGTTGGCCGATTTAAAAAAACATCATATTTATATATATACCTGTAAATAAAGTTGTTCCGCCGTCGCCCAATGCCTCCTAGGTCTGCTCCTCCTCTTTAGATTGTAAGGCTCCATTGATTCACACGCGAAATGTTCATATAGTTTATACAGTTTATTCGCGAAAAGTTAATATATGTTTATGTGGCATTATAGAACGAACGCGCGATACTTTTCTCGGCACTCCCAAATTCTGCGATTGCAATATATTTCGTTTCACGCGAGAATCGCAACACTTGCACTTGAACGCGCGATACTTTTAACGGCACTCCCGGGAAAAGAGATAGCGAGAAAACAGACATTTCATTCATTGCACGGTAATATAATAAAAACGGACGCGCGACACTTTTCTCGGCACTTCCGAATTCTGCGATTGCAATATTTCGTTTCACGCGAAGATCGCGGTACTCTTAGACGCGCGATACTTTTAACGGCACTCCCGGGAAAAGAGATAACGAGAAAAAAGGCCATATAAGGCTTAAAAAAAAACTACTAACCGCGCGCGTTTGGGTATCTTATAGCTTCCCCTTCAGGATTACCCTTGCAAGTACTGAGCCCTCCCACGTCAAGGTGTATCCTTCGGGAAGGTTTCATCTACGAAAAGCCGACGATGCAATATAGGTAAGCTCTAAAAAAATGAGCATACCTATATTGCAACCCTTTCCGTCGATTGATCGCTCGAGAGAAAATTGTCGCTTTAAAATATTCTCTCTTAATTATAAAATAAATTATATTACATATATATAACATATTTGTAATACAAAACAAGCTGATAATTACTAATTGTTTGTAAAAAATAATTGAGTTTCGAAGAATGACAGTGCTACTCGAAATACAATAGAATGCGTACATAGCATAGAAAAAAGAAAAGTACTGTCAAGTTTTTTTAAACACGTGGCTCTAATTCCAAAAATTTTAATTAAAAGAACATTTAATATATTTTGGATTATTTATTAGCGGTTCAATGATATGTGAGTATATATGATAACACGAGTAGTCACTTTTTATCTACTTGATATCTTTACCGCATCGCGTAATGTAATGTGCATATAATTCATGCATTATATATTTTTGTCTCACACATACACACATATACATATATATTAATTCATGTAATATTTACTTTCTCGAAAAATAATGACGTACTATTTATCACAATAGAAGATAAATTTCGATGATAGTATCCTAATTCTGACCCAGATATGTCTCCTTGTGGATTTTGATCACGTTTTATGTAACTATACATACACTCACCCCTCTCTCGAATCTGGTCATAAATAATGTGTTCGCGATATCTAAAGATATGATGATCGCAGAACGAATCGAAGAGATGGAGAAGCGAAAAACCCTTCAGATCTTCACTCAACGTGCGAGCTTCAGATTCTACGAGTACTTATCATATCTGTCACCTGTGGTCCGTAAGTTTTAATCAAAATAAATATATAAAATTGCATTATATGAAATATCAAGTATTTACTTTCTATTGCATTTTGCACAAACAAATAATGATAATGTCTAATAATAATTATTATAAACTACTTTAACAATATAAATCCTAATATACATATTATATAAAACATATAAATTTCATCTTATTATAATATTCTATATGCTCTCTTTATATTAATGAGAATTAAGACATTAAAACACAAAAAATATCGCTATTATTTTATACATACATATATATATATATATATATATATATATATATATATACCATGTCATCCGCGATGTGGCTCTTATTGCCTGTTTAACACTCTCAATTTATATTTATATTTATATTACAGAGCCTTGTTAAATTCTTAATTAAAAATTAATTTTTAATAATTTTTAGATATGTTGTAAGATATAGATGATATAATTTTAACAGAAATTATAAAATATAAACTCCTTCCCCTTTTAAAATACAAGTTTACAAAACTTCTTTAGCAATAAAATCGTAAAAATCTTGTCTTAAATGAAATCTGCTATTAAGTTACGTCAGAAGCAAATTTCTAAAGAAACTCAACAATTGTGGTCAAAATTGGGGTCGAAGTTATTTTCAACTTAGTACAATACTTTGAATGTGCATTGATTTTCTTGCTGCGGGCGCGTTTTTTATAAGTCAAGTTTTTACATATTGTAATTTATTTGCTCCGTTATGTTGGCGAAATTCGCAGAATACGTATAATTTTGTAATATCTTTCTCTTTTTTAATCAAAGCTCTCGCTCTTCCTCTTGTCAACTACGATATTAATATTTTTCATTTAACAAATAAAAATTGTTCTAATTCTTCAATAATAGCAATAATTTTCACATCTTTCCTACCATTATCAGTTATTCCTCGAAAAAGTAGAGACACGTTTTTCGCGTTCGCCGTCCATTTCTAGAATTAATGCATATGAGCGGAGAAATTCGCCCGCGTAACATCGTGAAACGTACGTGCGAGAAAAATTAGGACAAAATATCGACAGTCGGGACGCGTCGTGCGACTCACGTTCGGCTTCACGCGTGCGGAGCATCGCGATGTACACGCGAAACAACAATGGATTTTACACGATAAACGAAACAGTCCTCGTTGGAAATCCACCGATGCTGTTAGTGTAACTTAATACCTTCAATTTTCGGTTACATGTACTATTGCATCTAAAATTCAATTACAAGAATAAAAATACGATGGAATAACGAGGTAAATGTCGATCCATTAAGCTGAAAAAATATTTCTCAACGTTAATAGTGTAAGTGGTGTGACATTTTTTTATTATCTCATACTGTAAGAGATTTATAAATACGTGAATTGAGTTTAATTTTGGAAGCAGATGAGAATAGAAGATAAACATTTTCTTTTTATAAAAGAGAATAAAATATCATTGTTCACGATCCCTTCGACATCCTGAAATAATGCAACGGCGCGTGAACGTAACATGACTTGGTCGCTTTCCTAATACAAAGATCCGATTCTGCTGAGACACCCGCCTCGATTATACAAGTCTAAAAAACGAACCGCGAAATGGACGAACGAGCTGACTCGGCGAGCCTGCCGTGCGAGGAAGCTGCTTATCGCAAACGTCGCCGTTCTTATAGCGCGGCTATGAGCGAGGAGAATTCGCTCGACGAAGACGACGAGGACGACGAACCGGAGGAGAGATCCTACCCTCATCGTGACGGTGCAACGCGTGCGGGCTGCTGCAGCGCGCGTAAAATCTCCAACCCGGAATCCGAGAGCGGCTGGTCGACCGAGAGTCTGGTCTTGAAGAGAACGAGGGCGTCTTCCGGCGACATCGCGAAATCATGGAGCGAGATCGAGATCCCGGAGTTGCTGCTGGCGCATCCGGAGATTCTATCGCGCATGATGCGATGTCGTTGCTTTGTCCCGCAATTCTCCGGATGCCGTTGCGCGCAGTGCCAGTATCAACGCCGGAAGATTTCGTCCACGTCCTCCTGCTTCGCCAAAGAATCCGCTCTCCTTCCTCAGGGTGGAGTTGGCGCGAAGCGGAAGGACTCCGGCAACTCCGTGTCGACCTGCCAGAGCTTCCTGCCGCCTTCCTCCGGTAGGAATTCAGCCGGCAGCCTTTATCCCTGCTGCAACGACACCGGGGACAACGGGATGACGACGATGACGACGACGATTCAGCGACGGCACTCGATCGCCGCCGGTCCGATTCCGTCGCGTCGATACCCGGATCAAACGCACTCGCCACGCACCTGCAAGATCGATCGCCCAGATAATCGCGAGCTCTCCGAGCGATCGCTCGTCGGAGATACGATCGGAAATTGCGAGAGCGTCACCGGTGCCGCGAGTATTGCGGAGCCAATCATCGCGAGCAAAACTCGTCCGCGAGCGTCGTCTCTAAAGAGGCAATCATCCGCCGCGTTTCACCGCGACAATTCCGCGCCCGCCGATATTAAAGCGCTTAAGGATAACGAAGCCCGTTTCGCTGGCAAATCCTTCGCGCGTCTCACTGGCGGCGGAAAAAATGCTGAAGCGAACGCTGATGCTGCGTTTACCGCCCGTAAAGGCAGTGCCACTCCAATTACACCTAAGATGATGAGAAGGCGATTCTCCGAACAACTAATCCTCGAGGGAGGCCTCGGGAGCGTCGGCGAATCTGAAAATTTTGTCGATCAACCCGAGAATGCGGACGACTCCTTGACCGCGATAAACGCTCGAAAGAAAATCACGCTTAAGAAGCATTATTATCCGGAAGGTGGCTGGGGATGCGTCATTGTCGTAGTAACGATTCTGGTGCATATAGTCTCTCATGGCCTGCAATTGGCGTCCGGCTTGTTGATAAGTCCGACGATGATACAATTCCAGCAGACAATTCAAAACGCAGGTATGACGTACAAAATTACATTAATCTGTCTAAAGACTATAACTTTAGCTAAACATATAATAATATTTTCAA